GGCGGTTCCCTGCTGAAGAGCGGCACCTCCATCCCGCTGCACGACCACCCGGGCATGCACGGCATCCTCAAGGTGCTCTACGGCACCGTGCGCATCAGCTGCATGGACAAGCTGGAGGTGGGCAGCGGGCAACGGCCGCGGGCCCCGCCACCAGAGCAGCAGTTCGAGCCGCCTCTGCAGCCGCGGGAGCGGGACGCGCTGAGGCCGGGTGTGCTGCGCTCGCGGGCGGAGTACACGGCGGCCAGCGGCCCCTGCGTCCTCACGCCACATCGGGACAACCTGCACCAGATCGACGCTGTGGAGGGGCCCGCCGCCTTCCTGGACATCCTGGCCCCGCCCTACGACCCCGACGACGGCCGGGACTGTCACTATTACCGGGTGCTGGAGCCTGTCAGGGCCAGGGAGGCCTCCGGCTCGGCCTGTGACCTGCCCCGAGAGGTGTGGCTCCTGGAGACCCCGCAGGCCGATGACTTTTGGTGCGAGGGAGAGCCCTATCCAGGTCCCAAGGTCTTCCCTTGAAGGTGCCGGCGCCCGGGATTGGTGGGCCAAAGACATGCCCTACTCGTATCTGGGCTTGGCTGACCGCGACCCATTACAAGGGCTCTCTTCCTTCCCCCAGGCCTGGGCGTTGGATCTACTGGAATGGGCTGTAGCCGCTTCCTCGGGAGCCGGCGACTGGACTGCAGCCACCGGGCACCGTTTGGGGGGCGGAGTAGGCGGGGAAGCTAGGTTGTTTCCTGGCTCTGTCACTGCCACTGGGGTTTTGATTTGTGGGGAGGGGGCAGGGGTCTTATTTGAAGCGCTTCCATCCTCAAGCCATAATGAAAAGTTCCTTTCCTCTGTTCCCCGTCCTATACAAAATACACTAAGTGGTTTTCTCCGCCCCCCTCTTTGGGCAAATAGGGTTTGTTTTCCACTTACGTCCTTATGCCCTTTTACTCCTTATTGCTATAGTTCTAACTTACTGACTTTGCATGACCTAGTGGTTTGAATTGTTTTTAGTTCAAGGCATTGTTAAAAACTAGGTTTAAAGAGTTGAGCTACTATTTAAAGTGAGCTGTCCGACCTAATTAAGTCGTTGTGAAAATTAAATCCATTTTTCCAGAGTTGGGGGATTACCCCCAAACGTTACTATGCATGTAGAGGGCAAGATTTATTTTCTTTCCTCCCCTTGCCCAGTAACCACATCTGGGTTACTCTGGCAGCATCTAATAAGAAATTCAAGCACCTGCATATCTCAGTGACAAATGGACACTTGGAGCTTCCCGATGAGTCTCCAGATCTCTGAGTTGAGCAGATTTCTTGTTGCAGATTCACCTTTAATGCAAAAACTATATTATCCTCAAGTGACTTTTTTTGTCTTAGTGTACTTTAAGAAGTAATAATAGGTTAATTCTGTATTTTCTAACCATAAGATTCAGAGGAGCTGAATCGGTATGCTTCCAAACAACTGAATGTAAAACACCCTTAGCCAGCTGTTGAATTCTGTGCCCATATTTACTTCCAGTATTTTCCTGCAAAAGTAGAGGAAAATGTTCATGACTGTTTCAAATTCTCTCAGGAGTTCTAACGTTCCAGAGGGCTGATGATTCCAGCTGTGTTGTTGGTGTCAGTGTTCTCAGAACCCTGTCCCTCAAATAGGAGAGAGCCAGTGCTTGCTTCATCTAGGGTGAGTTTTCTGCAGGAAGAGAGGCACAGATGATCAAGGCTAGAAAATTGAGAATTAACTATACTCCTGGCCACTTTAGGGCACCAAAACTTGGGACAAAACACTTCCCATTCCCAACCGCTTGAAATGAACAGCTGTGTTGTGACTAGTTTTATTTTTATCCTTTTAATTGGCTGAGCTTTACCTTGTTTACAGATGTATTGACACCATTTGCTTCAGGCCAAGGAACACTCCTGTTTCCCCCTTTTTACTATTTATAGGACTCTTTTTTTCACAAAACTTTTAATAAAAACAAACTGTAGAAATAAACACATTAAAATTTGTCCAGCTGTTGTCTAAGCCCTCTTGATTGACTTGCCCATGTGGCAGTTGAGTTCTATTATCTGTAATAAAGCGAGATTTGCTATTGGTGAGAAGTGATGGCCCTGTATGGAAGCAGTATGTGCCTTTGCCTCTTTTTGCACACTGGGTTACAGAGGCCCAGAGTGAAGGAATATTTGTTCCCAAATTTAAAAATAGAATGAAAAAGCAAATTCTTAATAACTTTTCTTAAAAAACAAATTACAAAAAAGATGCTACTAAACATGATATGCCACTGTGTTGTAAAACCTAACACAAGCATAATGCATCTCTTCCAAGTTTGCTACAATTGTTTTATGGTAGTGTCACATTCTGGTGTGGTTTAGTATACCTTAGGGGCAGTTTGAAGCAGTTCTTCAGGCCATTCAGTTTGAAATTAAATTCTAGATATGCAAATGATGATTTTTTTTTAAAATTGTTCACAAAATGGGTTTTTTTCATAGCACAATGATGAGTGTGTATGGTTATCACATACCTACCTGTTTTGAATTATATTGTAGCAAAAAGTTGATCAACTTACAACGATTGTTGATAATGATATATAGGTTATAATACAATCTGGAGTACATTAAACTAACCTACAAAAACTCATTCTGGCAACAGGACAGTAATAAAGGAGAAATTGTTTTTTCAGACTTCATTATGAAAAATTTTTAAGTTCTCGAGTACAAGCAAGTTGAATGAAGAAGACTAAGGTGCTTTTCAAAAGAGTTAACTGAAATTATCACAGGCCAAAACAGCAATATATCTCTCTAGTTCAATAAGAACAGTGAAACTTTTGTTTCACTAATAATTCTGAGTAAATTAATGGTGAAAACAAAATTAACTTGTTTTAGTGAGCCACTAAGGAAAGAATATTCTTAATACAAAGACAAAATGTGGTGCAGAAAAGCCTTGCGCCTTTCTGCATAAACTGTTAGATGTGACTTAATGTGCTGCTGTTGTGTTTCCATATATTCCTGCAATATGGGTAACAACTGTGGGAAAAAAGTTGTCTTCTACAAAGACTAATGAGCACAATGATACTAATCACTTAACTTTCTGTTGAATAACAAATGCAATAATTGCCTCTCATGGGTGAGAAGTTGTCTAATACTTCTAAAGCTTTTTAATTCTCTGATTATATCAATTCAGAGTGTTGTATATCTACCTACTACTTTATGAGAATTGATTTTTTTATTAAGCCTAATTTGCATGGATTGAGTTTACACCAACTGCTGTTTATCAGTGAAAATGGTGAACCTTTTTTTAAAGTAATGTGTGTTTGTCAACAGGAGTGGGTTATCTGATCTTTTAATGCTAACAGCCCTTAACTTCTCCCCAAACTCACAATTTATGTTCCTTCTTTTGCATTGTTCCCTTGTAGGTGCCTTAGTCTAGGCATCTCAGGAGGACTCTCATCACTCATTTATTCCAAATGACTTGGAGTCTTGGGCTCTAGCTCTACTGTTCAACGAAAAAGCAATATATCTTTAATTCAGGGCTCTGCCCATTGATATTTCAACTCTAACCTGAGGGCAGTGCCACTCCTGTAACTCTCCTGTTCTGAATTCAGAACTTCACATCACAAACAGAAGCTGACCATTGATTATTCCAGTTCAATGAGTGGCAAAGAAGGAATCATTTGTTAAGCCCCATATAGATACTGAATCTTCTGATCCAGGGATGTTTACATTTCTAGATTAAAATCAGTGTACTTGTGGAAAATAAAGTCATTTTTGAAATTGTTTAGAGGTAAATCTTATTTGATTATTGCAAAAGGGAAAAGGAAAATATTACTTGCTATGATGCCTACATTTGAATTGCTGTTAAACATTCACAGTCTGTATAGTAAGATTATGTTGTACTAAAAACTGGGGGCCTTCTGCAGATTCTAAAGTCCAAGTAATAATATAAACTTAAAATTAATAGTTTATTTCCTTGAGTGTGATCTTTGAAACAGCCTGATTGACAAAACATCTGAAATTATTTAACATGCAATCATAACTATTTTGCTGCAATGAAAACACTCCTTTTATATTTAACCTGAGGAAAATAAGCTAGTGTAAGAAAACAAAAATACTTTCGTTCACAGAGGAAAGAACCTTTGGACTTAAATATTTTCTTGTCTTTCCTTTTTCTGTAAAGTTTATTTAATTGTAGTTTGGATTGGCAGCATTTTAGGCACTTGTGATGATACTGACCATTCCTTCCCACCACCACCACCACCCCTCAAAGTAGTATCAAACTGTTAAAGCATCACTACAGCCATTTCTAATATATGCCAAACAATTTGCCTTCATTAGCAGTTAGGATATTGAAATTAAATAGCCTGGTTTATGAATAATTGGAAACCTTATTTAGGTTTAATAGACCTATTTTTAATGTGTAGTGAACCATCTCAGCTGCATTATGATCTTTAAGGAATTACTCTCCAGAAGTTTATTTTTAATAATTCCCAGTAACAGCTGAAACGTCAATAATATTATTTAATAAAGCATATTGAATAAAAGAAAGCAGACAGCTGTATATACTTTATTTCTTGAGCAAAGTAAAAAATGAGACACCTGTGAACAGTACCCTGAATGTTTCAAGCAGATAATAAAATCTGATTAAAGATTGACCTAACCTATTGAAATCAAGGAGTAAAATCCACAAGGTTGGCTCTGAAAAAACACCAAGGTGTGTTCCTTATGGTATGTATGTTATGCCAATTCACCAAGCCCACATCAAGGCAAAAGTGATTATGTAATCAATTTGACTATCACCAAAATGTATTTCATCTTATTGAAAAGAGATTTTTAGTCTGTTGCTTTGTTAACAATTGTTTACATTGTCTTAATTGAAGGTGCTCTGAAATTAAAATTTGGCAAGACAATTATAAATAACATAAAACTTAGGTGTATTATATTTTAATATAATGACATTTTGGTAGGAGAGTAGTATCATTAAAAACACAATTATCAAAATGTGGCATTGTTTTATACATATTTCTTTAAGAAAATTGGCCAAGCAAGGATGATAGTATGCTGACAAGCTAGGAAATATGAATCTAATGGAATGACACCAGTCACTAGAACAATCTGACACTGAAGTTTAGAAACTTCCATTTAGTAGTTATTAGAGGTATTGTGCATCTTTGAAATAAGGACAGGAAGGAAATAAGGGTTAGTTACCTTCACAAATTAGATTTCGAATTCTAGTGCTGGTAAGGGCAAAAAGTAGTTCCCAGGAGAAGCTGTCACTGCTGTTCTAAAATACAGGCCATCTGTTATCAGCCACGCCTGAGAGAGTCTAACAGTGCCAAAGGACAAACAGATGACAGGGTTCTCAGATGACGTAGCTAAACAGTGGGCACTCCAGTGTGTTACATTTGTGTAAGGATCCAGAGGCAGCAAGTGACGTTAAATGATATTTAGGTCCAATTTTAGAGTAAAGAAAGATAACTTCACAAATACAATCTGCATTGTATGATACATAGAGAACTATTGGGGGGAGGTGAACTTATATT